AAAGACCTCACCTCTTATAGCATGTGAAAACAAAGACCTCACCTCTTATAGCATGGTCCCTTTTCATCCCCGCTCGGAGCACCACCAGTAGCACGGTGAGGAGGGAAGCGCATGCGGGGGCACCCCAGTGGGTTGCCAATGTTGCCCCCCACCCAACAATGGCCATGCGGGGGCGGAGCGCATAGTGGGGCGCCCGGAGCTCCTGGATCTGAGGCTTGCCTTCCGGAGCCAGCTGAGATGGGATCAGGGACTCTGAATTCTGTAGAGCCTGTCCCGGGGTGTCATGGATGGGAGGAATAAACACGAGTCTTCGCAAATGCTTCTCTGTCTTCCAGGAGAGGGGATGTGGCACATCCTCCTAGTGGGGAAGGCCCAGAGTCCTTCGTTCAAAGGCTTTTATTGAAAGGGTTTTCTTGGGGCTAGGTAACAGGAATGCCCAGGTTATCTCATTACATCAGTGTTTTTGTTCATAGAGAATGAGTGATGTTTTGAAGAAAACAAATGGCAGGAACACACTGATTTACATGGGTCTGAGAGGACAACTAAACATGAGACTAAACATGAGAGCGTAGTAAACATAAGAGTACCTAAGGGGTAGGGTTAGGGTCTGTAAATAATGTAAATTTCCTTCCCAGCTTGAGCTGGCTATAGCTTCTGAGGGAAGAACAAAACACCCTCTAAAAATTTTACTTTTCGGCCTGATTTCCCTGGGAACTTCCAGACCTGGTTTAGGACTGACTCCAGTATTATTTCCAGCCTGAGCCAGGCAGAGGGGAGGGGCCTGTCAAGAGATAAGGAGACTTAGATAGAATGAGGACTCCGGCCATGTCCAAGCTGAGCCGAGGGGTCCGGGCCTTTTTGCCCTTTCTCCGTGTCCCCCAATTTCTTGTCTGCGCCCAATACCTCGATTGATAGCTGTCTTAGATTGATATCAGCACGAGATAACTTACCTGTCATGGATTACCAATCACCACATGCAAAGCAGAAAATCAGGAGCTAGGCCCCTGCCAGGAGAGACGGTTATGTCTCCTCAGGAGCCTGTTTTTCCAAGGCCTCCCTGACTATTTCCAGCCTTGGGGCCCTCCAGCCTGTCGGCGGGGTTACAGTTCCTGAAACCAGACAGGGTGTTCCCAACAACCCCTGAGGTGACTTTTCCTCCCCTAGCATATCACTGATCATGTGGTTTGGACTCCCCTGACTATTTCTTTCTTAGCATGTCACTAGTAATGTGGTAGTCTCCCTTAGAGGAGGAACTAGAGGCCCAGAAAATACCATATTTTGCCATGTATAATGCACTCCCATGTTTTTGTGTGCATTATACACAAGATTATTAGACCCCATTATTATACCTATGGTATGTAATCATTGTACCCATGCATCATGCGCATCCTTGTTTTCCCCTCAAAAACTTGGGCAAAAAATAGTGTGATTATACACAGCAAAATACGCTAGCCTCATAAGACTCCCATACAAGCCCTTCCACAACTACTCCCTTAAGCATTAAGCCCTTGAGACAATGAGGTTATGACCCACATCAGATACTCTTAGGAACAGAGCCTCCGGTCTAGGTCTGTTGACCACAGAGACAGAGTTTTGTTCAAACTAAAGATGACATTTAGGCCTCAGTTGTGATTCATCTCCAGGTCCCGCAAAGCCGCAAGACCAGACGGCCATGGCTGACATCGGGACCAGCTGCATTGACTAATCACCCTCCTGCCCTGGTGCCAACCAATCAGCAGAGACCATGACCCTGAAAGACCACACCTGGAAAAGCTAATGAATATGCTATTGAGATTCTACCCTGGGACCTTCCCTAAGATCCCCACCTGTATAAAATCCTCAAGAAGTGCTTTTCCCCGCCCCAGACGTGCTTTTCCCCACCCCATTCTTTCCCCAGGGGGTACTCTCTCTATCTCTGTCTCTCTCACAACTCTCTCAGGCTCTTGTTTTTCCTTCCCTCTTCTTCCTTCTGGCATGTTTTCTTTGCTTTTCCTTTTCCTAAGTTACAAGGGCCCTTCTTTTGCCTCTGTAACTTGTTTCCTGAGCCCATGCAGCTCAGTTGGCTCACTTCTTCCAGGCCTCACTTCTGCCTGTATGACTTTCTAAATAAACTTTTGCTTGTATTTGAGTCTTGGCTCTGAATTATTTCCCAGCCAGAACTCAAGTACCAACCTTGCTGAACTGAGGTCTAATTGCCTCAGTAACATTCTGGTGCCATTTTGTTGCTAAGGAGTCCATTTATACAGGGAATTTTTTTCAATAAATATACAGTTAGCCATCCACATTCCTGGGTTTTACATCCAGGATTAAACCAACTATGGATTGGAAAAATACTTTTGATTCTCATTTGGGAATCCTTGGATTTGGAGGGCTCACTTAGTTATATTAGGCTTATGGGAAGGGGGAGTGAGGTGGGATGGGGTTCCGTGTCCATAATCCCTGTGTTGTTCTTAACCTATTGTATAAATTAAGTGAGGACTTACTATGTTGACATAAGAAACCTCCAAACCTGTAGAGAATTTTTACAAGCGTTTATTTGGGCTAAACTGATAACAATTACTGGGGAACAAGATCTCAAACACTTCCAAGAGTGAGATCAGAAGTGTGACTACCAACACCGACCTGTCCAGTTAGGAATTTATGATCAGATTACTCTGTGAGGTTACTTTCCAAGACAGGACTTGTCAGTTTTACTACAGAACCCTTTTTCATTCATAAAAGTATACTCAGAAATGATAAATACTGGATCATATGGTATTTTATGTTTAAATTTTTAAAGAACTGCTGTATTGTTTTCCATAGTGGCTGCACGATTTTATATTCCTACCAACAATGAGTGAGGGTTCCAATTTCTGCACATCCTCATAACATTTACTTTATTAAATATTTTTTTGAAGGCAGAAACATTCTTTAAAAATATTTTACTTATTTACTTTTTTTTTTAGAGAAGGGAGGGAGAGAAACATAGATGTACAATAGGTACATCGATAGGTTGCCTCTTGCATGCCCCCAACTGGGGACCTGGCCTGCAACCTAGGTGTGTGCCCTGTTTGGGAATCGAACTGGTGACCTTTTGGTTCTCAGGCTAGACCTCAATCCACTGAGCCACACAAGCTGGGACTATTTTATATTTTTAATAGTCACCATACCAATGATGTGAAGAGGTATCTCATTGTGATTTTGATTTGCACTTCCCTGATGATTAGTAATGTTTTTATGTGCTCTCATCCATTTGTCCATCTTTGGAGAAATATCTGTTCAAGTCCTATGCCCATTTTAAATTACATTGGTTTGTGTTTTTGAGTTGTGGTTCTTTATGTAGTCTTGATATTAGTTCTGTATATCAGATACTTGATTTGTAAATATTTTCTTCCATTCTATGAGTTGTGTATTAACTCTTGATAATGTCCTTTGATGTACAAGTGTTTAATTTTATGAAGCTCAGTTTATCTTTTTAATTTGTTGTCTGTGCCTTTGGTATTATACCTGTAGACAATTTAAAAAAAAGATTTTATTGATTTACTTTTAGAGAGAGGGGAAAGGGAAGGAGAAAAACAGCAATGTGTTAGAGATACATGGATCAGGTTACCTGGCCTGCAACCCAGGCATGTGCCCTGGCTGGGAATCGAATCTGCAACCTTTTGTTTCGTAGGCCAGCACTCAATCCACTGAGCCACACTAGCCAGGGCTGTAGACAAGTTTTTTAAGAGTTTATTTGAGCCAAACTGACCCCATATGCAGGGAGCAATTTCTCTAATGCTCCTGAGAATAACAGCTTTGCATCTTATGTTATGCATTTGAAATTAAGGAGAGGATGTAAGATAGGAGAAAGCAAGGCTGTGATCAATTACAGGATAGATAACAAGATTCTGTGCTCTCTTGAGGGTTAATACTCTCTTCAAGGGATATTACTTCTATCGTTCCAAAGGTGTGTTAACCTAGATGCTACAGAAGAAGGGACAGGCCTGGTTTAAAACCTTTCTCTAAAGAAGTTACAGGCCTGGGGCTTGATTACTCTCCATGCCCTGCCCAGTTAGCAATATATAAGATCACCCCGAGAAGGTTACTTTCCATAGAATTCCCCTTTTTTTGTCCACACCTGGGACTTAAAATAGGCCAATTTTGTATATTTTCTTCCTGTAGGACAGTAATATCCAATTTCTAGGTCAAATATTCAGCAAATTCAACTATTTTACTGAAAAGTAGGTGTGATTTAGGAAAGTTATTCAAACTCTCTGAGCTTAGTCTTCTACTTCCCTGTGTTTCTTGCAGATTAAGTGAGATAATGCCTGTGAGGCAGTGTCTGGTAAATGTAAGCATTCAGTGAATGGTGTTCCTATTTGTATTTTGCATCTCACTTGTCCTCCCCTGTAGAGACCGCACTATAGTTTGATTATCTCTCATATCTGGGCAGCTTCCCCTAGTTTTGTACTGGGTGCTTACTACTTAAGCAGGAATCAGCCGTTCCTGCCTTTGGCCAGCCCACCACTAGGTAGGAAAGAGCTTCCCAAACCGAACACGATCTGTAATCAGGTCCGGTTCCAGGGTTGCGCGGGCGAACCGGGAGGGGATGTGAGGGATGCTGGGAGACAGTGGGATGCTGGGAGACAGTCAAGGACTCGGTACCGAGAGGTGGCAGGTTGTGGGAGCGCCCTGCACTCTGAGAGGTTCTGGGCGGGACCACGTCGGGGTTCCGTCCATGGGCGCAGGCAGCCCAGGCGCTTGAGCTCCCGGGGCGAGGGCTCAGAGCGGCCCAGTCATCGCACACAGTAGATCCCAAGCTGACAAGGATACGGTCAGCCGCTGGGGGCGGAAGTAGCGTCTTGCAGAGGCGGAGCCGCGGCTGGGGGGCCGGAAACTCTGCAGGCGGAGCCGGTGGGCTGGGCCATAGCGGCGGAGGCCGGGGGGCCGGCTTTTCCGGGGCAACTGATTGGCCGGTCCCTGACGTCGGCGGCGGCAACTGGGCGCGTGGAACAGTCACCTCGAACCGGTGAGTTCTGGTTCGAGCCTGGGCCCCACCAGTTCTAGCCGTCCCTCGGTGCAGGCTCTGACTTGTGGCGGCCGGCTCCCCACCCCGGGCTTCCCGAGACCTCCCGCTCAGAGGCGAGGCCAGCAAGGCCCTACCCCCGGCTGCGCTTCCGCTCCTCTGGTCTCCGAGATCTGGCCGGGGAAGGGAGGAATCCTGTAAGGCCAGAACGGCCTCATCCCGCGGGTAAGGCAGTGGCGGGGACAGAAGCTGGAGCGGACAGAAACTCGGCTAGAGATGCCCAGAAGGCCTCAACCCAGGGCTGGGGTTGCGCAGCTGGGACCGCGGCGGACGAGGAGGGGGACGGTGGAGTCCCGCGGGGGGCTGGAGCGCAGGGGTGTGGCCTGGGTGAGTCGGAAACTTGGGAGTTAGTAGGGGGCAGACGCAGCTGGTGGATGGGATCACCCACCTGGGCTAAGGTGAAACCATTGAAGACCTCATCATACGAGGAGCGGGTTCAAAGAGCAGGAGACAGCCAAGAAAAGGACAGGGAACCTCCGCAGTATCCAAAGCTACGATTAAGGATTTTTGTGCTTCTGGCACTGCAGGAACCCACAGCTTTTATTGTGGAAGTGTTCAGACTTACACAGAAGTACAGAAAAATGCAGAAAATATCATACCATTATGGATTCTAACTACTCTGTCACCTAGCCTCGACCACAAATGACTACTCTGGTTGCATTACAGGTGTGTTAAGCCTCAAATTAACAGTGATAATATGTTAATTTCAGTGGGTTACGTTTTGCAAGATGAAAAGAGTTCTGGAAATTGATTACACAAAAATGTAAATGTACTTAACACTATTAAACTGTACACTTAAAATGATTAAAATGGATTTTGTTTTGGTTTGCTAGGGTACAATGGTAAATTTTATGTCGTGAGTTTTTAACCAATTTTTTTTTAGCTCTTTCCCCTTTTTCCCTTTTTATTGATTTTATTGGGGTGCCACCGTTAACAAAATTATACAGGTTTCAGGTGCACAATTCCACAGTACATCATCTGTACACTGTATGGTTTCTTCACCACCCCAAGTTTGATTTCATCACCATTTATCCCCCCCCAACCCCCCCCATCTCTTCTGCAGTCTCCACACTGTTGTCAGTGTCTGTGAGTTTTGTTTCTCTTTTTTCTTCAATCCCTTCACCCCCTCAGCCAGCACCTCCTGACTCCTCAGCTGTCAGCCTGCTCTCTACAAGTCTGCCTCTATTTTGTTCATCAGTATATTTTGTTCATTAGATTCCATGTGTGAGTGAAATCATGATACTTGCCTTTCTCTGATTGGCTTACTCCACGTAGCATAATGCTTTCCAGGTCCATCCATGCTGTCCCAAAGGGTAAGTTTTCCTTCTTTTTACAGTTGAGTAGTGTTCTTTCAAATAAAAAAAACCTAAGGCTGCAAATTAAGAAAAAATATCTGGCTTCAAGTGTGCAATGGAAAGTAAGTCATTGCCAAGTAGAGGCCCATGAAGTTGTATTTTTTACTATAGAGGCTCTGGAATGAACTTGTTAGTTTCAGTGCTCTGACCAGTGGGACCTGGCCTGAGGTGGACTTTAGGCACTGTGGTGCCCGCGAGAACTGAAGGGTTAAGCCAGTCCAGCTGTGTGAATCAGATTTCTCTCAAATGTTTCTATTTTCTTGCCTTCTGAGGCATACCTTTAACCTGTTAGGTTAAATTGCCACCTCATACCTTTATTCAAAGGAGAGTGAATGAAGTGTGAATTCACCTCTTTCACTTTAATACTTTAGGATCTACTTGGGTAGTCTCTCTCCAATGTGACATCTGCTCTCTGTCCTCCCAAATGTACTGCGTATCAGTCCTTCACATTTTTTTAAAAATCCATGCTAGAGGACATGGTTATTGATTTTTAGAGAGGGGAAGGGAGAAAGAGAGAGGGAGAGAAACATCGATTGGTTGGTTCTCATCTGCACCCCAGCCTGGGACTGAACCTGCATCCTAGGTATGTGCCCTGACTAGCAATGGAACCCTCAAACTTCCAGTTTATGGGAAGACACTCCAACTGAGCCACACTGGCCAGGCCAGGGCCTGTCCTTCACATTTCTAAAGCATGTAGTATTAGCCTGTAGCTAACCTTCCACATTCTAGCTATCATGTTTTTCTTTTTTTAGTTACCATTTTTTCTTTATATATATATATAATTGATTATGCTATTACATTTGTCCCATTTTTTTTCTCCCCTTTATTCCCCTCTGCCCTGCACTGCCCATCCCAGTGTTACGGAAAGCCAGACTCAAGACACGATTCAGGGAACGGAGTAAGCCTTTATTCACACGCGCGGGCTCAGAGGAGGCAGTCTCCAAATTCTGAGCCCCGAATCGGGGTTAGATAGGGGTTTATAAGCCCTAGCATTCCGGTGGGAAACGGATGGGCTTCCCAGGTGGGGGAAGGGATTAGCATTCAGGTGGGAGATTGATGAGATTGATGTGCTACCCAGGCGGGGGAAGGGCTGTGAAAACGGGCTACAGGAACAGATAAGCAATGATTAACAGTTAACCTGGGAGGGGTCTCTGGCTAGGCTGTTCCTCTTAAATCATCTTGCCCTTATCACCAGCAGCATTGCCTCTCTCCCTTAGGTCATGTCCTACATATAAGGTCTTCAACTTCTCCATTTCCTATACTATTCTTAACCTCCCCATCTATTTTGTACCTATTATTTATGCTTCTTATTCCTTGTACCTTTTCCCCCATTCTCCCTTCTCCCCATCCCCTCTGATCTCCATTTCTGTGACTGTTCCTGTTCCAGTTGTTTGCTTAGTTTGTTTTTGTTTTTGTTTTTTTTAGATTCAGGTTTTGATAGTTGTGAGTTTGTTGTTATTTTGCTATTCATAGTTTTTGAACTTTTTCTTAGATAAGTCCCTTTAACATTTTATATAATAAGGGCTTGGTTGTTGGGGGCTGCTTTGGGTGGTATCAGGGACTGTAGTCCCACACAAGCAGGGGCCTGGGAGAGGCTCCATAAGACTTGGCTGGGAAACTGGTAATGCCACTGATAGGCAGGACCCATAATACCTCTGAGGGCCCCCCACCCCCGGGGGAAATCAGGCCTAGAAGTAAATTATACTCCCTGAAGCATGCTTTATTTCTCCCTCAAGATCTGTTAATCTTATACCAGATAACCAGCTCTGGGCTGGGAAGGAAATTTACAAAATTCCCGGACCCTGACCCAGATCCTATCTGGCACCATAATGTTTGCTCATCTCAAACCCAAGCAATTTGGTGTTCCTGCTATTGTTTTCTTTAAACATCACCTACTCTCTGTAAATTTAAGTTGCTGATGTAATTAGATTACCTATACATTCCTGCGTGCGGGGGGGCCCCCCCTCCCCCTTGTAACCCTCTCAATAAAAGCCATTGAGCATGGCTCGGGCACTTTCTCCTTGAGAGAGAATCACCTTCCCCTTTCCTTGACAGGCAAACTGTGTCTGGAATGACTCTTTTCTTTCATCCACGGGAATAGGGGACTTCCCTGGCCGGAGCCTCCTGTACTTGGTGACAATGAACTCCCTTAACTTTACCTTATCTGGGAATCACTGTATCTGCCCTTCCATTCTAAGTGGTAGCTTTGTTGGATAGAGTAATCTTGGATGTAGGTCCTTGCCTTTCATGACTTTGAATACTTCTTGCCAGCCCCTTCTTGCCTCAAGGTTTCTTCTGAGAAATCAACTGATAGTCTTATGGAAACTCCTTTATAGGTAACTGTCTCCTTTTCTCTTGCTGCTGTTAAGATTCTCTCCTTATCTTTAATCATGGGTAATGGAATTATGATGTGCCGTGGTATGTGCTTCCATGGGTCCAACTTCTTTGGGATTCCCCGAGCTTCCTGGATCTCCTGGAAGTATTTCCTTGACCAGATTAGGGAAGTTCTCCTTCATTATTTTTTCAAGTAGGTTTTCAGTTTCTTGCTCTTCCTCTTCTCCTTCCGGCACCCCTATGATTCCAATGTTGGATTGTTTAAAGTTGTCCCAGAGGTTCCTAAGCTTCTTTTTTTTTTTTAATTCTTGTTTCTTCATTCTGTTCTGGTTGAATGTTTATCTCTTCCTTCTGTTCCCAATCTTGATTTGAGTCCTAGTTTCCTTCCCTTTACTGTTGTTTCCTGGTATATTTTTCTTTCTTTAACTTTGCATAGCCTTCACTTTCTCCTCCATTTTGTGACCATACTCAACCATTTCTGTGAACATCCTCATTACCAGTGTTTTGAACTGTGCATCTGATAGGTTGGCTATCTCTTTGTTGCTTAGTTCTATTTTTGGAGCTTTGATTTATTCTTTAAATAATTTGTTTTATTCCTTAATATATTTTACACACAATGCACATGCTTTTATTTATTTTTTAAAGATGTTTTTATTTTTAGGGGAGGGAGGGAGACAGGGAGAGAAACATCAATGTACGGTTGCATTTCGTGCACCCCCTGCTGGGGACCTGGCCTGCAACCCAGGCCTGTGCCCTACACTGGGAATCGCACTGGCGACCCTTTGGTTCGTACATTAGCACTCAGTCCACTGAGCAACAGCAGCTAGGGCTGATCTGGTCTTTCATTTGGGCCATATTTCTTTGTCTTGGTGTGCCTGTTACATTGGAAGGGGCAGACCTTAGGTATTTGATAGGGTGGGGCAACTCACATTGCTGTGTTGTGACATTGTATGTGGGGATGGGTGTCCAAGAGAGAACAATGCCACTGGCTCTACTCTCAGCTGGTTTTCAGTCACTTCTCCCTGCTGCCCACAAGCAAATTGAGTCCTTCTAGTGCTGAGTCCCAGGTGGGTGGGTTTGTGTACGTTCTAGGACCCTGTGGGTCTCTTCAATGAACTCTCCTATGAGGCTGGGAGTTTATTCTGCTGCCATCACCCCCACAGATTTTTACAGCCAGAGGCTTTGAGGCTTTCTTTTCCCAGGCTGGAACTGTGGATTACGTGGTCTGTTTGTCTCCCCAGTTGTTCCTCCCAGTTTATCCACAAGCAAATGTTGGTTGGCCAGCTGCTACCTTGCCCGCCTGGTCTTCCAGCTGCCACCTTGCTGCATGTCCTTTCCGCCCCAGCTGGCCCTCTCCACCCCTCCTACTGGCCTGGATGGATGTTTCTTCTTTAACTCCTTGATTGTCAGACTTCCATACATTTCCATTTCTTGGCGTTTCTGGTTGTTTTTTGTTTTTAAATTTGTCGTCCTTCTTTTGGTTGTGTGGGGAGGCAAAGTTTATCTACACGTCCATCTTGACTGGAGGTCTCACTTTTTTTAGCTATCATTTTTTAAGTGAGTCCTACATAGGTAGTCCTAAAACCTTTCTTCTGCCCATCTCAAACAAAACAATAAAATGATAAAGTAACTGCTAAGTTTCGGTTTTTGGCTTCTCTTATCTTCCTCCAGGGGCCCCAGAATGAGTATTTTTCCTGGAGCTAAATTTTCTTAATGTCAATTGCAATTTACTAGAGAGTTATACAACCAATTGGATAATATTTGCATCAGAAAGTTATATTAGTTAATAAGTAATGACTATTTAGAACTATTCAGGAAAAAAATGAAGTTCTTGGTCATAGCACTGGTACTCAATGATGGTAAGAAGGAATCACTGATAGGACCCCTCGTGATGGATGGCCAAGAGCAAACATTAGATTCAATCACAGGTGAATTTGCTAAGTGACTAATGATTAAGTTTATATACTCAGAACTATCAGAAGGAACATTATTGAAATATCTGCAGGAAATAATGTAACTGCTCATCTGCAACTCATTTAGACTTTAACTTTCATTTTTCCCATGGAAACAGTTACAATTTTGGATTAAGGGAGGTTTTTTAGGAATGTAGCCATCATGTCACATTGTAACAATCTGTACATAGGAGATAAAGTGAAATGAATGAACCATTTTCTTATGTTTTCCTTTGTAGGGAAAATGGAAGAGCTGAGTCAAGCCCTGGCTAGCAGCTTTTCTGTGTCTCAAGATCTGAATAGCACAGCTGCCCCACACCCCCGCCTGTCCCAGTACAAGTCCAAGTACAGTACCTTGGAGCAGAGTGAGCGGCGCCTTCGGTTATTGGAACTGCAGAAATTGTAAGGGATGCCTTAACTTCCTGGCTTTTTCCTCTAGGCTGGGCATTGTGAACCATTCAGGAGGCTATAGGCTTGCCTCTACAGAGCCATCTTCAAAATAGACCCTTTATAAGTTGATCGTCTTGCCCACAAGGTTGGGAGCAGTAAATCCTGGCAGAAGTAGATGTCCTTTGCACCCAGAGCTAAGGAAAAGATGAGGAAGTTTGAAAGTAAAAGTTCAGTTATTTGGGTAATTTTTTCTTTCTTTTCCTGGCAGCTGTACTGCACTTTGTAATTTATGGATTTGTGAAAGTCACATCCAGACTTCCACTCCCCACATTCCCTGTGTAGCTTCTCCCACATTCTGAATCCTAGCAATGGTGTGGTCTTCCTGTCTGCCTGCAGTCCAGATGTTTCTGTGGAGCTCTTGGGAGTTCCAGACAAATAATTCTACAGGGAGCCTGAGGACATGTCTTCCGTACGTGTAATTCTCAGTGCCAAGATGAGCACACAGGGAAAGAGAGCAGGATAAGAATGTTTGAGGTTGGTCTGCTCTGAATGGAGGGCCTGTCCTTTAATTCTCAGAGCAACATGAGCCTCTTCTAGGTAATAATAAGGAGTTGAAAATCAAGAGCAGCTATTCACAGCTGTACAGTTTCTATACCATCTGCAGCTGCCCAGTGCTGCATCCCTGGGTGTCTTTAGCAGAAATGGTTTCTGTGGCCTCTGGGCTGCTTGCAGGTTACATTCTTAGATCACCCCCACCACCTGTTTTAACAAAAATTATAATTTATGTAATTTGAATTTTGAACTATGAATACATATAATGAATTTTATGTGTTGCAAAATAATTAGTGAAAAGTATTCCTCCTAATTCTGACACCAGCTATCCAACTCCTCTGCCATGTTACTAGTTTCTTATGTATCCTTGCAAAGATATTCTCTGCTATATGAACAAGCATGTGGTGACGTTTTCTTTTTTAAACAGAAGTAGAGTGTATGGTACACTGTTCTGCACATTGATTTAACAGTGGTATTTTGCAGAGGTTCTGTATCAGTTCATAAAGTGCCAGGTATTCTATTGAATGGACAGTTCTGATATAATTGAAGCAGTCCCTTACTCACAGGCATGTGGGTAGTTTCCTCCTGTAATGCCTAAGAGAATGCTCAGGAAATAACCACACAGAAATTCACCTTTTGCACATGCACAAGGACACAGATGTCCCTTATTCTTGAAACAAAAGACTATTGTTCTTATATATGCTCTCTGGTGTACACCTATGTGTGCATAAACATGTGTGTGTTTGAGAAGAAACCAGCTGAGTTGGTCTCACTCTCTCAGTACTTGATCTCTTGGCCTTAGCATTGAGGAAACCAAGCTTAGAAAGTTATGTGGTATCTACACATCACTTGGGAACAGTTAGGTTTCCACAGGTTGTTTTTCTTCTCTTTTCCTAAACTTTCTACAATATGTTTTTTTATTTTTTTTAATTTTATTTTTTGTTAAGAGAGGGGAAGGTAGGGAGAAAAAGGGGGAGAAACATTGATGTGAAAGAGAAACATCCATCTGTTGCCTCTTGCACATGCCCCAACCGGGGACTGGGCCGGCAACCCAGGCGTGTGCTCTGAGAGGGAATCGAACTGGCGACCTTTTGCTTTGTGGGACGATGCTCAACCAACTGAGCCACACCAGATGGGACCAATATGTAGTGTTTTCAAAAGAGAAAGATAACAATAAAGGGAAACAAATAAGTAAAAGATATTAAATTGTAAACTAAGTGGTCTTTTTCTAAAGTTAAACAGGAACTGGAGGAAGGCCTGGCTGCTTCTCAGAGAACTATAAAGCGGAAGGCCACAGAAACTGCCCTTGTTTTAAGATTCTCACTGCATCTTAGTAATGCCTCTCTTCAGTCCCTGGGGCCTTTGGACTAGGTATCTGCCAGACAGAGAAGTGTCAGCTCTTACCTGGAGTTGAGGTACGAGTGGGTCAGCCTTTCTAGCTAGTCACCCTTGAAAGTTCCTGTAAATATTTTACTTTGCTCATTCTTAGGAAACTCTGAGGAAGGTTGTGTGTGTTTAGCGTGGGTGTCCTACTTAGGATTTGTGAGGAGGTGGTCCCTGGTTTAGCTTTGTAGAGGAAATTCTGTCATCTCTTACTCCCATCAGAATCCCCAAATTGCTCCTGAATTTAGAGCCTCTAAATTTACTCTATCTGTCACATTGTAGAGTGTCTTTCTACAAGACATAAAGGTCTGTCTGTATGCCCTTTCTTTTTCTTTTTTTACAAAAAGACTTTAGAGAGGGGAAAGGAGAGAGAGAAAAGCATGATGTGTGAGAGAACCATCAACCAGTTGCTCCTCACACACCCCATCTGGGGACCTGGCCTACAACTCAGGCACGTGCCCGGACCGGGAATCGAACTGGCAACCCTTCGGTTTGCAGGCCGGTGCTCAGTCCACCGAGCCACATCATCCAGGGCATGTATGCCTTTTCTTTCTCTAGCAAGCGGCTCGATTATGTGAACCATGCCAGAAGACTGGCTGAAGATGACTGGGCAGGGATGGAAAGTGAGGAAGAAGAACAAAAGAAAGATGATGAAGAAATGGACGTTGACATTGCTAAGAAGTTACCAAAACGCTATGCTAATCAAGTGAGTATTCCAGAGAAGATTAGGCCCAGCTAGTCCCACTCTCTTTACTAAGCAGTCAGACCCCACTGAAATAACCATTGCCATAAAGGTAGGAGGAGGAGGCAGGAAAAAGGAATGAGAATTGCAAAGAAAATGCTAATGTTTAGAAAGTTTACAGATGAAGAGAAGAGATGGTTTACAGTGCCATGTGCCAACCAGGGATCACTGATGAAAACTGAATAGTGGACTTGGGAACCATTACCCCAGGCTTGCTTCTGACTAATGGACTCCATGTACTGTCACTTCTTTAATAGTCATTCCTAGCTGTTCTGGATTGGACCTTCCCAGCCCAGCACACCTCCCAGATGATAGCATTTTCCAAACAGTGAACTAAGATGTCAGTATTGGATCTTCACATTCAAATAGAGGAAGATGGAAAGTAGAACTGCCTTTGAATATAAGGAGCTTGAGTAGCCACCCCAGGCCACCCAGTTGGCTTGTGTGGGGCTGAGACCATGAAATAACAGATCACTGTAACAAACTTAACTAAGTGCCCTGTTGGTTCAAGAGAGGAAACCAGTGTGGCCTGTGGTGCCGTAGGGGAAGCAGGCATGGTGACTGTCCAGTGCTCTAGGCAGTCTAGGTATTCTAGAAGGCATGGTAAGGGACCTAGTGGGGGCAGGGATCTATGCTGCTATTGTATGCTTCTTTCTGTAACCTAAGTGTCTTGTCACCTGAGAATCCTCTCCCACCTTTAGAATGTGGTTCCTGAGTGCATGCACTCCCATCTTCTCTGCTCCAAATACAGCACAGATAACACCCTCTATGGCAGTGTTAAGTGAGGCTAGGCTGTGGGGAAGGTAGACATGGGTCAGAAATAACCTCTGTACTTCTGGAATAAGTGTAGATTATGGTTTTTGCTATAAGAAAGTGAGATTAACTTCCAATAGACAAGGAAGCAGGATTGTGAAATCAGGATAAAGTTAATAAACAAGGAACCAGCTTTGAAGCATGGGTAGGACATCGATAGGCAGAGGTACAGGGCGTTCCAGGTAGTAGGAATGGACTGAGCAAGAGCTCATAGGTGGGAGAGGAGTAAATGGTATGTTCAGGAGCAGTGAGAATGGGATGGCATAGAGTGGAGGGAAGATACTATAGAAATATATGCAGGAGTTTCAACTGTGTTTTAGATTGTGGGGGCACCACTGAGGATTTTTGAGCCAGGGACAGAGTTGGACTTCATGTGATGACACTCACATTAATGTGTTGAAGTGTCTGGAAGAGCAATAGGGAGCTTAGGTTTTCTAAAATGGTCTGATGATGTACAGAGCAGATGGGAGGGAAATGAGGTTATGAGTATGAGAAATGTGAAAATGTTGCCAAAAAGAATGGAGAGAATTTAGCAGTGGGTTGAAGAGGCACTATGAGAAGTGATTAAGGGTTTAAACTTTGACCTGACCTCAAAGCCAGGCTCTTTGTTGACCTTGAGCAAGTTACTTAGCCACTCTAATAAGTCTCTTGGGTTTCTTATTTATAAAACGGTACCTGACTCATAGGATTGTTCGAAAGATTAAATGAGATAGAGTAACATAAATACCCCATGAGTATTAGCTGCTACTACTATTTTTTAACAGCCATAGTGAGTTATAATTCACCTACCATACAATTCACACATTTACAGTGTACAGTCCAGTGTTTTTTAGTATATTCATAGGACTGTGCAGCCATCACGACTACTCCAGACCATTTTCATCTTCCCAAAAGTAACCTCATACTCAATTCGCAGTCCATCTCCATTTCTGCTTTCCCCCAGCTCCTAGCAATCACTAATCTCCTTTCTCTTTCTATGGATTTACCTATTTTGGACATTTTATGTAATTGGAATCATATAAGATGTGTCCTTTTGCATTTGGCTATTCACTCAGCATAAGGTTTTCAAAGTGCATCTGTGTTAAAGCATGTGTTCATTCATTAGCTTTTTTTTTTTTTTTTAAGATTTATTTCTTTATTTTCTTATTTATTTATTATTTATTAGAGAGGGGAAGAGAAGGAGAAAGAGGGAGAGAAACATCAACGTGTGTTGCATTTTGTGTGCCTCCTGCTGGGACCTGGCCTGCAACCCAGGCATGTGCCCTACACTGGGAATTGAACCCGTGACCCTTTGGTTCTCAGGCTGACACTCAGTCCACTGAGCCACACCAGCCAGGGCCATTCATTTTTTTATAATCACATTTTGTTTATCCATTCATCAGTTGATGGCCATTTGAGTTGTTGCCACCTTTTGGCTATTATAGCCTGCTACAAACGTTCCTTTACAAGTTTTTGTGTGGTCATATTTTCATTTCTTTTGAGTATATACCTGGCAGTGGAATTACTCAGACATATGGTAACTATGCTAAATCTTTTGAAGACTGCCAGGCTATTTTCCAAAGTGACTGCACCATTTTATATTCTCACCAGTGGTATATTAGAGTTCCAGTTTTTCCACATATTTGTCAATACTTTTGTCTGTCTTTTTAAGTATAGGCATCCTAGTGAATGTGAAGTAGTATCTCATGATTTTGGATTGCATTTCCCTAATGTCTAAAGATATTTAGCATCTTTTCATGTGCTTATTAGCCACTTCTATATTTTTTTTTGGAAAAATGTCTATCTTGTGCCCATTTTTAAATTGCATTATTTGTCTTTTATTATTGAATTGTAAGAGTTCTTTATTCTAGAATCAAGTCTCTTATCAGATAAGTGATTTACAAGTATTTTCTCCTATGCTTTGGGTTGTCTTTTCGCTTTCTTTTCTTTTTTTTAATGTGACTTCTTAATTTCCCTTTCTCATGTAGTCTCTATCAAAAATGTGCCCTGGCAGAAGAAACACTACTAAAAGCAACAGGGCAGACAGAATGTGATCATGGGTCTCACTGGACCAGATGCTAAAGTGTGAATCCATCTTTCTCCTGGGTCTGAGGGTTCAGACTCCTGTTTCTATGCACTGTGTACCACCCGTCTTAGGGTTTTAGACATCAAATATGTTTACCATGGCTTTTCTTTTGCCAATATTTGCATATGTGAAGTTGAGCTCTGCAATTTGTTTTTTTCTTCACATGAGGACATTTTTTTTCATTGCCTTTTTTTTAGAGAGAGAAGAATGGAGAGAGAGAAACATCGATTGGTTGTCTTTTTTGCATGCACCAGAGATCATTTACACCTGTACCAGGTGTGCAGGACTAGACCTGCAACTTAGGTATGTGCCCTGACTGGGAATCGAATCTCCAGTGCTTCGGTTACAGGACAGTGCTCCAACCAACTGAGCCACACTGGCCAGGGCAAGCTCCTCCTACGTTTAAGAGGCCATGTTCAGACCTTTGTCCACTTGATGGTATATTTAACTTCATGTTTAGATGGTGGTCCAATTCAGCATTTTTATTATGCCACCGCACTTGCAGTGTTCAAGCTGTAAACATTTTTTCATCTTTCACACTATTTTTCTAGAAAATGCTGAGGCCTGACATGACAGGAAGTTGTGTGCTCTTGGTCATAGAGTAAGTAAAGGATTTCAAGACCATTCGAGGCTCACTCTGGGCCTCTCCTTGCCTGGCAGTCTTTTTTTCAGTCTGGCCCCTGGTCACAGTGGCCTGTTTCTGGCAGCTAACCTTTATTACTGAGGTGAACGGCCATCTCTTTGGCTTGGCAATTGCTGAGTCACACTGCGAGGAGCACCTATGTGGGCCTTTCCCCCATTCTAAGCTACACGCTCCCAGCAGGGGTGTTACATCATACCAGAGGTCCTGGCAGGAGCATGTTACACCTGCCTTATGACATGATTATCACTTTCTTAACACACAGTTACTTCCTTGGAATTAGTTTCTTAATGACACCTATGGCAAAGTCCTATTTTTGATACAAGTTAAGTACAGTTTTAAAAACCTGAAAATAGCCTTGGCCTGTGTGGTTCAGTTGGTTGGAGCATCGTCCAGTAACTGAGGCCTGTAACTGAGGGGACATGGTTTGATTTCTTTTCAGGGCACATACCTGGATTGCGAGTTTAGTCCCTGGCCTGGGAGCGTACGGGAAGCGACTGATGGATGCTTCTCTCTCACATCAGTGTTTTTCTCTCTTTCCCTCTCTCCCATTCTTTCTCTCTAAAAGCAGTGAAAAAAAAAAAAAATGTCCTCGGGTGAGGATAAAAAATTAAAATAAATAATAAAAACCTGAAAATAACAGAAAAGTGGCAGGAAGTAGGCTAGACATAGAGGTGACGGCTGTCCCAGCCTATGAGAGGCAGTTTGTGGCTGAGGTGTTAGGAAAATGGGACTTCTCACATAAGCTGGCTCTACCCTACTAGGATCCCTGGACAGGATGAGACCCCTCAGTGTCTCTAAGGCCCAGAATGCAGATCTCCACTTTCTAAGTGGGAAACAAACTTGACACGTGTGTTAAAAGGTACTTGCTGAATACTTCGGGTATAGATAGAGTGCCTTGGTTTCTATTTCTGTGAATGGACCCGCCTAGCCACTTAGTAACTAACTCTGGTGGCGGACGAGGTTGTCGAGTAGTGGGGGCTGGTTGCCTGACAACACTCCTTGTCACCTCTGAAAGCAGCAACATTCTTCACTCACCCAACACTTGCTCATTCAGGCTAACTCCAGGTTGTTCACCAGATGTTGGCTCCTTTTCCCGTCCTAGGAATGAGTTGTGTGTCCAAGCCTGCTTCTGAAATCAGTTCTCATGTGCGTAGTTTGGGGAAGGGAGGGAACCTTGAATTTTGTCTCAGCAAGGAAACTGCCTGCAGAAGGGACTTAGTTGTACTGCAGAGAGTGAGGTTGGGGGCTCCCCACCTTTGGGCCATGGCTGGCCATAACATCTGCCGGCTCCGGGGTAACTGAGCTGGGTGGAGCCTCTGCCCAAACCTGGCCCTGGAGGCCTTGGATCAACTGTCCAGTTTCTGTCCTCTTCCTGAGCAGAGTATCTTATGTGACAAAAAGAAAAAATCAGAGAATTTTATGAATTCTGTGCAAGTAAACTTAATCTTAAGAATCATTTAAATTTTCTCTTGCTGTTGGGTGACTCCTGGGTCCTTCCATCCTCTGGTCATTGGAAGTGCTGCAAGTAGATGAACTTCTGGAGAGGGAACTTCTTGCACAGCGAACTCTCCATCTTGGTGTCACACCACTGGGTTCTTTTCACTTTCTTGATGGCTTTGTTGGCAACACAGATGTCTTAAATTATGTGTAGTCTAACTCATTTATTGTTTGTTTTGTTGCTTGTATATTTAGTGTTGTATTTACCACTCCTTTATAAGGAAGTGTTGACTGTGCCTTGGGTTTAAGATTCAGTAGCAAGAGATAGTGGTGATGCAGTTAACAGGGCTACAGAATGCAGAAGGGGAAGTGGTGGATATTTCAGGGTTGGGAAGTACTTGGGCAACAGAAGGCAATGAATTTAGCTTTGGATATACTGAGTTCAAGCTACAGAGAGGACAAACAGAAATATATCAAATAGCCAGCTGGAAATATCTGTCTGGAGGGAAGAGGAAGGAAATCTGGATGTGAAAAAGAAGGCAATTGGGAGGCATCCTCTTAGAATGAAGAGTGAAGCTACAGTAGATGAGACCCACCCCCAAGGGGGCAGCCTCTAAGAGAAAAGCAAAGGTGGGCCTAAAACAGCCTCCTGAAGATTATCTGCATGTTTTGGGGAAGTGTGTGGAGGAATATTTGGAGGAAAAATAATAGTACTGTGTCACAGGGACAAGGGAACATATGTCAAGGATGAGGATGTAACTGTCAACATCACAGGGGGAGTGGAAGCAGGAGTTTAAGGTGGTGAGGGAAGAGATACTTGATGGCAAGGAGGTTAGTTATGGCCTTTAGTAGGACTTGTGGGTTAGCAGATTTGGACTGAGTAGCGGCAGGCAGGAAGGCAGCAACAATAGTTTAAAAAAAGCAGAAAGTGGAGTAGCTCAACAACAATGCATGGTGATAAAAGGTTTTTATTTTTGTTTTGTTTTTAAAGCATAGGGGTTAAATAGTTTGTGGGCTAAGGGGAAGGAGAGAGGAAAGATTCAGTGGGAGGGATTAATTGATAGGCCTAAGTTTATATAGATGAACGGGAATACAGGAATAAGAGTGATGAGTGGAAGTTAATCTTTTCAAGTCCATTTCACCACAGCCAACCCCCACCCCCTTTTTGAGGCAGATTTCCTAACATCCCTTAATGTAGCATTTGTGCCATTATAGTTTGGGAAATAAGGATCTATTTTAAGAGCATTTCAAGGTCAAGGACCTTATACATCTCTGAGGTATAGTCCTTAGAACATAATTATGGTAATAATTAAATGGTCAAATTATGGTAGGTGGGTGGACAGATTAAGATAGGAATAGGGCTCCATCACGTGGACACAGAGGGTGAGGTAGTAAGAATGGGTATGCATTTGGGTAATGAAGGTGAGAAATTCAAGTTCACAGTGAATGGTCTCCATCCCATCAGTAGAGCAGGAGACGAGTTGAAAGCTAAGACCAAATAGGGTGGCGTTTCCACTGTCAGTCTTTTCTGCCCTCATTCATTAACTCGTATTTTCATTATAGAAGGAGGATTCTTTGTCATTGTAAACAGTGGAGCAGCACACCCCTCTTGATTTTTTCCCCTGTTGATTTTTTACACCATATTTTGTGTTGCCAGTTGATGCTCTCTGAATGGTTAATTGACGTCCCTTCAGATTTGGGGCAAGAATGGATTGTGGTCGTGTGCCCTATTGGAAAAAGAGCCCTTATCGTGGCCTCCAGGGTGAGTAGCTGCCTCCTTTCTCTACGTCACTATGCCTGGTCTGTAGCAAGAGGGATTCTTTTTTTTTTTTAATCCTCACCTGAGGATATGTTTATTGATTTTAGAGAGAGGAATGGGGGGAGAGAGAGAAACATCAGTGTGAGAGAAACATTGATGGGTTGCTTCCTGTACAAGACCCTACTGGGGATCGAACTGGCAACCTCTAGGTATGTGTCCTGACTGGTGATCAAACCCACAACCTCTTAGTGTATGGGATGATGCTCCAACTAACTGAGCCACCTGGCCAGAATGCAAGAGGAATTCTTTTCACTCCATATTCCTTGTCTGCCACAGCAGCTGTGACTGGCATGAGGAATGAAATCCTTTCCTGCAGGAAGATTTTTTTGAGAGCCATCTTTGGGCTGATGACACCCTGCAGAATGTGGAAGCGCAAGAGTGAGGAGACCTGATGCCTAATGAGAATGTTATCTTTCCAAACAGGGTTCTACTAGTGCCTACACCAAGAGTGGTTACTGTGTCAACACATTTTCTTCGCTACTGCCTGGGGGCAACAGGCGAAACTCAACAACAGCAAAAGGTACCTACATAAAATTGTCTCTTTTTTAAGTTTCATAATTATTAAATGTTATAATCAGTAAAAGATAGTATAAGTTGCTTGGTCAGTTGTTTTAAAAACCAACTTTGAAAGCGTGCCTTTGAAATTGCATAGACACTGTCTTTCCACTGAACTTAGGCCATCTTCTTCACTGTCAGCCCTCCTTCAGCTGCAGAATAGACACAGCCCAGTGAAGCCTGCTGGGCAAAAAAAAAAGCCCTGAATTAAAATCAACATGCCTTTCCCTTGAACCACCTTTAAAAGGTGATAACTGTAGTTGGGGAAAGATCCCTTCAGAATGCTGAGTATAACGTACAGTAAGATGTGGGCTTCCCTACCAAATTCCCTTTTCTCCTTTATTGTTGTCCTAACCTAAGCTTTTTCTTCCCACCTGGACTTACCTGAGGAGACTAATATCATGGAGGTTAAATAACTTGCTCAGGGTCATTCAGCAAGGAAGAGGCAGAGCTGGGCTGAACCCTGCTCTCTTTCCGCCTGCTTAGCTTCTTTGGTGGTTCCTCATGTCCTCCATACTGAGCTCAGACTTCTCTATTGACTTTTAGAGCCCCTCACGTTGGCTTTGGTCTGCCCATACTTGTATATTTTCCCTACTCTTCATGTCCACCATTAGCTCTGTTTATCTGGCTTGCCTCCTTGCTCCCCACATGTACCCACTTTATTCTGGGCCTTTGCTCATGCAACTTCAATACTCTGGCCTGGAATGCCCTCCCTGACTCTGTCCTGTTTTAATTCTTTTATCCCAGAAGACTCTGCTATATCACATGTCTTCCATGAAGCATTTCTTGCTTGCTCCAATCCTTCTTTTTTCCCTGGCATTCCTATTGTTCTCAGTTTGTGCTATATAGTTCATCTTGCTCCCTCTTTTTTTAAAAACATTCTTCCTATCTACTTTTAGAGAAAGGGAAAAGGAGGGAGAAAGAGAGGGAGAGAAACATTGATCAGTTCCTTCCAGTGTACACCCCCGACCAGGGACTGAACGCAAAACCCAGGCTTGTGCCCTGACAGGGAATTGAACTGGCAACCCTTTGCTTTGTGAGATGACACCCAACCGACTGAACCACACTGGTCAGGGCTGCATTATTCACCTCTTGGTTCTTTCCTCTGTGATCATCTTACCTCCTTAACTGTTCTGTAACTTCCTAAAAGGCAGGGATTACTTATAGTTAATATCCCCACAGAACACAGTGCCCAGGATAGGAACTCAAAAATTAGTTGTAGCCCTGATCAGTGTGGCTCATTTGGTTGGACATTGCCCCGCAAAGTAAAGGGTTGCTGGTTTGATTCCCAGTCAGGGCACACTCCTGGGTTGCGGGTTGGGTCTGTGGTTGGGGCCCAAACAAGAGGCAAATGATTGATGTTCCTCTCTCACATCAATGTTTCTCTCCCTCTCTTTCTCCTTCCTTTCCCCTCCCTCGTAAAGTAAATTAGTAAAATCTTGAAGTAGTTGTAAACTTGAGCTTCTCTAAGGTGAGTGAATGTCCCAATTTACCTAAAGTTTAGAATTCCTATCTGGCTTAAGAAGTAAGATCCCTCTTGTCATGTGCTACCCCAGGTCACCCTTCAGCTGTATGATGAAGAATGTACTGTCCACTGAATTCTGATTCCTCAGGGGTGGTGCTTACTGCAAGCACCAAGGATCGTCGGACTCAGTTCCCAAGACCTAATATGGGGCTCCCTGGATTGTGGTATAGGGAACCCTGATTGGAGGGGTACCCTGTAACAACTTTCTGTGTTGTTTCCCAGACTACACCATTCTGGATTGCATTTACAGTGAGGCAAAGCAGACCTACTATGTGCTGGATGTGATGTGCTGGCGGGGACACCCTTTTTATGACTGCCAGGTAAGGATCAATAATCCCCTCATGTTTTTTGTTTTCTCCTGTCCTGGGCAAATGGCTCAGTATATGGGTTCTTGGTATGTAGAGGATGTGGTATATAAAGAATACTATTCAGTGTTTCTCTCAATGTGTTTAAATTACTTTTTTTTTTTTTAATCCTTACCTGAGGACATGCTCACTGATTTTAGAGAGAGGGGAAGGGAAGGAGAGAGTGGGGGAGAGAAACATTGATGTGAAAAATGTCCATCAGTTGCTTCTTGTACACTTTCTGACTGGGACCAAACTTGCAGCCTTGGTATGTGCCCCGACTGAGAATCGAACCTGTGACCTTTCATTTCAGTTTACAGAATGATGTTCCAACCAACTGAGCCATGCCAGCTTGGGCAAATTCGCTTTTTTTTTTTTTTTTTTGGTTTGTTTGTTTTAAAAAGGAACGTAGGAACTAAGGGAAATATAGCACATTCTTTTTTTTAAGATTTTGTTTGTTTTCAGAGAGAGGGAAAGGGAGGGAGAAAGAAAGGGAGAGAAACATTGATGTAGGAGAGAAACTTCAATTAGTTGTTTCTCACACGCCCCCAAGTCAGGGACCTGGCCTGCAACCCAGGTATGTACCCTGACTGGGAATCTAACTGGCAATCTTTCTGATCACAGGCTGGTCCTCAGACCACTAAACCACACTATCGAGGGCAAATTCTTGAGGGGAGGAAAGAGAAACAGAGCAGAGGGTTAGGCTGGGACTTTGTAGGAGCTGCAGCTGCCTTCTGTCCTTTCCAGAGTGTGGGAGGATTGCTCTCAGGGAAGATCTGTGGGTGAAGGGGATGCCTTTGTGCAAGGAAGAGAAGGTGGAGTATAAGACATCACCAGTAGACTCTTGCCACCTCTACTCCTTCACCAAATACATCCTGACCCTGAAAATGGCGGGCCTTTCTGGTATAACACAGAACCTTGAATCTCTAAGGTAATAGCTGTAGGAGGAGATTTTCTAAGAGAGGCCCTAGTATTCTTTCCTCAAGTTTCAACTTCCCTCAATGTTTTTCTCATATCGGTGATTCTTATAAGTGACAATAACAGTCATCATGATGAGGGGAAGTCAGCCCCTCAGGCTCTATTTCTGTTCCCAATAGTCTGCCAGCATTGTCCCACTTTTAGAGTGGTGACTTTTTATGCTCCTTGTCAATTAGTTTATTGTACTGGTTCTCAATGTTAATAGAAATGCAAACAGTCAGGAGTTCCTGTCAAGATGATGGAGTACCTAAGTGCTGTCTGTGCTCATCTCCTCCCATCACCACATCAAAATTGCAACTGAATTGGAGAACCATCTAAATAAAAGCTGAACCTAACTCCTATAGCTAAGGATATACAGAAGAAGCCACACCGAGACTCTTAGGAGGGGGAGAGATGAGGAACAGGCTGGATCCATACCCATGAATTGGAGATATCTCAGCTGCACAGGACCCCCTTAAGAATGAGAAGTCACATCCTCACACTGGTCACCCAAGCCCTGAGCACCAGTGCCAGGAAGAGGAGTCTACATAATACCTGGTCATGAAAATCAGCGGTGATTCCATCCAAACAGGTGAGACAGAAGGCTGTGGGAATACCAGGTGTCCTTTTATAGGGCCCATGCACAGGCTCTCACTCGCAAGCACTTACCCTGGGCTCCAGTGAAGAGACAATATAGCTTGGGGGATGTCAGACATACAGGGAGAAACTGAGTTGTGTAGTTTCAGGGTGAGGGCTGGAGGGACAGCCACCATTGTCCCTATGTTGAGCGCTTCTACCACACAGCCAAATCAGATTCACATTAACCTGGTGAACTCCACTTGCTCCACCCTGATGACTCCCTGGAACCCACTCCACCCAATTCGTATACTGCCAGAGGCTCTTTCAGTGACCTTGGCCCACTTTAGGTTTTCTTTAAAAACTCTGAAAGGTCTGCCAACCCCAGGCTGGTGGCAGCTGGCCTCAGTGTACCCAGTGCCTTTTGCTCGCTGAGTGGCTCCAGGCTCAGCACAGGAAGAAAATTTGAATCTGTATTAACTTGCACATCATTTGCACCACCCTGGTGACTCCCTGAGATGCCACCTCACGTAACTTGTGTACTACCCAAGCCTATTTCAGCAGCCGAGTCTTACCAGCAGCCACAAATAGGTCTTGGGGTGCTCAGAGTCTTTAGCTGAGTGGCCCCAGGCTTAGTACTGGTGGCAGCTGGCCTCATTTCACAGCATGATATCTCCCATGTGTCTCCAGGCACAGCACAGGTAGCTACCAACTATGGGTTGCTTTGTAGCTCCAACTAGGTAGCACTGGGCTGCTCACAAGCAAGGGCTGACCTTGGCCTACACTGGAGCTCTTGCCAAGAGGCCCCAGAACCAACACACCTGGTGGCTGGCTTCAGATGATGACAGAGCACCACACAATTAACTCCCCAAGCAGTACATGCAAAGGGTAGTCTTGGCAGGTATCAGAGCCCCCTGGGGCGATCTCACTCTGTGGGGTCAGCATCCACAGCAGCTCCTATGCTGTGGTCATGGCCATTACTCACAGCCATTCAGCTTGATGGTCAACCCCACCCACTGAAATGCCCAAAGTAATAAAGGCTCAGCTACAACAGGAAGGCACACACAACCCACAGAACAGACACTCCTGAAGCACCCAGCTCAAGTGATCAGGAAAACTATAGTACGGGGTCCCTAGGATACCTACTAGATAAGGCCAGTCTGCCAAGAATGGGAGATATAGCAGGTCTACTTAATATATAGAAACAAACACAGAGAGGCAGCCAAAATGAGGAGACAAAGAAGCATGTCCTAAATGGAAGAACAGGAGAAAAGTGAGAAGCAACTACATGAAATGGAGGAAAACAATCTACGAGATACAGAGTTCAAAACACTGATTAAAAGGATGATCAAGGAACATGGTGAGAACATCAACAAAGAGATAATCATGAAAAAGGACATAGAAATCATAAAAAAAGAACCTGTCAGAAATGAATACAATAACTGAAATGAAGAATACACTAGAAGGAATCAACAGCAGATTAGATGAAGCAGAGGATGAAATCAGCCATTTAGGAGACAAGTAAAAGAAAACACCCAATTGGAACAGCAAAAGTAAAACAATTTTTAAAGTGAGGATTGTTTAAGGGACCTTTGGGACAACCTCAAGCATAGCAACATTTGTATCATGGGAGTATCAGGAGGAGGAGAGAGAGAGAGAGAGAGTGAGAAATTGAAAACTTATTTGAAGATATAACGACTGAACACTTCACCAAGCTGGGCAAATGAAATAAACATCCAAGTTCTAGAAGCACAGAGAGGTCCACACCAAGACACATCATAACTAAAATGGCAAAGGTTAAAGACAGAGAACCCTAGCTGGCGTGGCTCAGTGGATTGAGTGCCAGCCTGTGAACTGAAAGGTTGCCAGTTCAATTCCCAGTCAGGGCACATGCCTGGGTTGCAGGCCAGGTCCCTAGTTGGGTGCGTGAGTGTGGCAATCTATTTATGTTCCTCTCCCTCTCTTTCACCCTCCCTTCCCCTCTCTTTAAAAAATAAATAAAATCTTAAAAAAAAAAGAACAAATATGAATAATAAAATGGCAATACCTATATACCTATTGATAATCACTTTGAATGTACACTGTATTTTGCTGTGTATAATGCACACCCACGTTTTTGTGTGCATTATACATGGCATTATTATACCCTTGGTATATAGTCATTATACCCATGTATAACACGCATCCCTATTTTGCCCCCAAAAATTGGGCAAAAAGTGCGTATTATCCATGGCAAAATATGGTAAATAGATTAAATTTTTAATCAAAAGAAAGGGTAGCTGAAATGGATAATAAAATAAGACCCGTACATATGCTGTCTATGAGAGACCTGTTTCGGATCAAAAGATACACAGACTGAAATAAAGGGATGGGAAAAGATACTTCATGCAAAGGAAAAAGGAAAAAAAATCTGGGGTAGGAATACTTATATCAGACAATAGACTTTAAAACAAAGGCTGTAACAACAGTGTGGGGATTGCAGGGGGAAGGAGGAGAGTGGAGGTGGAACAGGATATTGGGGTGATAAGTGATGTTGGGGAAAAAACACTATAATAAGAGAAAAGAAAATTTCATAATAAAAGGATCAATCCAACAAGAAGATATAACCCTTATAAACACTAATGCACTCCACATAGGAGCACCTAAGTATATAAAGCAAATGTTGATGGACATGCAGGGAGGGATTGACAGAATTGTAGTCACAATATGGGATTTTTAACACTCCATTGCTATCAATGGATAGATCTTCCAGACAGAAAATCAACAAGGAAACTGCAGCCTTAAAAAACACATTACATCAGATTGATTTAACTGATATTATTAGAACACTTCATTCCAAAGCAACAGAATATACATTCTTTTCAAGTGCACATGGAACATTTTTCCAGGATAGACCACATGTTAGGCCACAAAACAGTTCTCAATAAATTTGAGAGGATTTAAATCATATCAGTCATCTTTTCCAACCACAATGGTATGAAACTAGAAATCAAGTACAATTTTTTTTAAAGTGAAAAACATTCAAAAACATGGAGGCTAAATAACATGTTATTAAATGATGAATGTGGCCCTGGCTGGTGTGGCTCAGTGGATTGAGTGCTGGCCTGTGAACTGAAAGGTCACTGGTTTGATTCCCAGTCAGGGCACATGCTTGGGTTGCGGGCCAGGTCCCCAGTTGGGGGCTTGCAGGAAGCAACCAATCTATGTGTCTATTGCACGTTGATGTTTCTCTCCCTTCCCCTGTCTCTAAAATAAGTGAATAAAATCTTTTTTAAAGAAATAATGAATGTGTTAACACATTGTGAATGTGTTAACAATGAGACCAAAGAAGAAATCAAAGTTTTGTGGAAAAAAATGAAAATGAACACACAATAACCCAAAATCTATGGGACATTGTGTAAACACCCCTGAGAGGAAAGTTCATAGCATTACAGGCGTACCTC